CACCTCGCAGCCGCCGCCGGCTCCCCCAAAATGGCGCAGCAACAACAGCCAAAAGCAAACTGTACCCCATGTTTCCGCCACTTTCAGAACCTGCCCCATGGAATCCAAGGACCATCTCTTGGAGAAGGCCACGGACGTGCCCACGTGAAGTTCCACGGCTCGCCATGCCGGTACCCGGTACAGATCAACCCTTCAATGGTCTACCAACCCGTCCGGATCCCGGCAGCCTCATTCGGAAAACCCATCCAACCCATCCTACCCCGGAACCCTCGAGTCGCCAGCACCGACAAATGTGGGGGGAAAAAAAAGAAACACACAAACATTATTAGTTTTTACTATTACTGTTTTATTTATTGTCTTAAAACAAACAAACACACAAAACAAAAAAGGAAAAAATAAGGACAAAAAACGAAAGCAAAAAAACAAACGGAGCTCAGGCGCATGGGACGCGGCGTCGAAGTGCATCACCAAGTTGCCCTCGCTGCCCTCGCTGTCTAAGGGCAAAGGATGCAGGGCCTCCCCGCCTCAGTTGGGCGTGGCTCAAAATTCAAGAGCTGGGGTTCCGCAGGGTTTAGTCTTTGGCTCCAGTTGGCAAGGTGCCATTTTGGTACATTTATTGGAGCCACAGCCAGTTGGCCGATTTCGGCCATCCTCGAGGGCAACCTCTTCCCCCCCTTCCAAGCACCGCGCCCCCCCCCCCCCGCACCAAAAAAAAAGAGAGACACACACACACACACACACACACACACACACACGCATCGGGTCAAAGGATTGCGCAGCAAATTCCCGGCTTCTTTGTGGTAAGTGTTCGATGGTTTAACTCGTATTTCCCCATGATTTCCCTTCAGCTCACTTGCCCAAAGCTAGAAAAAGGTTCACCTTGTCGGGCCTCTACTAAAGGTAGATGTCACTTGGGGGAACTCAAAGCCGAGGCTTCGGCTATGGCGCCACGCCTTGACACCTCCCTGCATCTTGGCGGCGAAGACGATGCCTGTTTGGATCTGGATCGCTCGAACGCAGGCCCCGCAAGAGGGATCACGGCGCCAAAAACTGCGCCATCCCCTTGGACCTGCCTGCAGACAGGTGACACAAGTAGGGGCTCTTGGCCAAGCAAGAATCCACATGGCTATGATGGTTTAGGCAATTTAGAAACATCAAACCCAACAACCAACGACAAAAATGGCCAATAGTGGCTTGGGAAGCTCACTTGAAAGGAACTTTATATTATATATTGCTTCCAAGTCATGTGGGAAAGTCATCTAAGAGATTCGCCATAGTCCCCTCCCGAGTCTTGATCTTGAATGTTCAACCCGTGTCCAGCAAGTAAGCCAATGTTGACCCCAGATTAACCAACCCCAGTCAACTAATATGGGGGTGGGTCGGGGACCAAAAGCGATGAATCCCCACTAAACCCAGGGACACCCCCTACTCGTAAACTGGGGTTCGTTTATCCGGGGTCAACACTATCCACGGCTTTGTTGGCAACTAACTCCGAGTTATCCACTAGCAGTGGGCACCTACCAAGTGGCTTGCAGGAAGGGAAGGACAGACCATGGGGGCAAACGGCCCAGCGTCTACCCCCATGCGAAAATGACCGAAACCGTGTGCTCTCTCTCTCTCTCTCTCACTCGGTGGCTTCCGGCAAGGAGCAGGAGGCGCGTGCCGGTAAATGCGCGCTCTTGCATACCCCCCCCCTTTCTGGCAGGGGAAGAACGGGTTGGCTGCCTACAGCGCAAACAGCGAGGCCGAAGTTCCCATAAAGCTGAGGGGCCGGGCCTTGCGGCCAACACGCATATCACGGGCTAGGAACAAAAGATGAACCTAAACATGCAGCAAAAAGGGAACACCATCCAAGCCCCCGTTAGAATTTCGTGCGGGGCACCGTTCCCATGGTGGTTGCCAGGGTTGGGCTTGCACTTCACCTCCCCCCCCCCAAAAAAAACAAACAAACAATAGATTAAACCAAAAAAAAATGTTCTTGTTGAATCACCCTCTTTCCAACAATCATGGAAGTGGACCTGGGGCTCCGCAAGGAGGGTTCTTGGACCCTCGCCTTCGGGTTCCCCTTGAAAGGCCCATCAAACCTTCTACTCGCGCCGACCACCGCGCCTGTGGTGGCATCATAGGCCTTGGCCCGTACGACTCCAAAAGCTTCGCGGTTGGCGCAAGCATCTGGGACTGGTCCATTGACGTTGTCTGATCGTTGAAGGGGAGGTCCCACCAGGGCCCAGCAGACTTAGCCTTTGTTGTGAGAATCAGTCCAAAATGTCCACTTCTCGGCCCAGCATTCGGGGTCCGGAACCTCCGTTTGCTTAAGTCCCCCGGGAAAAAGTGCAAAAACAATGTCCAGCAGTGAAATCGATTCCCTTTCAAACCAACAGGTGACATTAAAACATATATGGGTTGCACGGTGCAAAAAAAAAGTGCCCGCAAGCTGAGGCCGCTGCCAGCCCAAGCACGCTGCTGACGAAGAACTCCGAGGTAGAGCTTACCAGCTGAAGCCCCTCGCGACAAAAATTCGGCCATGATAAAAACCACTTCATTTTGGCTGTTAGTCTGGGGGTACCTTCCATTTCCTTCCAGGGATCCGAATCTTCTCAAGAACCATCAAAAACCAAGGGGAAACAGCCGGTTATTGAAAAGAACGATAGTTGAAAAGAATGGGGAATCAACCCCTAGAGTTAGGGTTTCTACATGTGGCTGATTTGCTTTTTTGGAGGGTATTCCAGGAACCCCGTTTTGAGGGGTCCTCCAAGGAGGGGTCATTCCGAGCTCCCTGCAGAAAAGAAATGGAACTAGCCCCACGAGTCAGAAAACTGGCCTGAGGTGACCTACCTGGGTGCCTCAAAAAAAGTGAGTCCTGGTCAAAGCCTGGTACCAAAATGGTTGACGCCAAATCATGCGAAGAATCAAAAGGGCTGATCTCTTCTCTCTCTCTGCCGTTGCGTCCAGAGGGTCTTGACTCAGCAACGAAGAAGGTGCCCACTGATATTGAGAAGCACCAACAACATAGTAGAACAGCCCGGGCAAATCTCTGCGCACCTAAAAGCCCGGTTGACACAAAATAATGCGAATCAAAAGGGCTGATCTCTGCGCACCGATGTTTCCTTTTTCGTTGGGGCCGTCTCTACCCTTCAGAGAGACTCAGCTCTCAAGTGGCCGCTGCAAAGCACAAGTGGCCGTCCTCACCCACCAGGCGCCACATACGGATGGTTCTGTCAGCACCTGGCCCGGATATGTGCGAACCACCAGGTTCGGTAGGCAAGTGGCAAATGGCGGGAGGGACCTCTTTGACCGTGTTGCACTCCCTGCGAAAGAAAAGAGTTGCGTCTGTTGGATCCAAAAAGGGTCCGCAGCTGGGCCCGTTTAGGCACCATCCTAACGGTACCTGAAGTCAACCTGGAAGGGCCTCTATTTTGGACAAGCGCAAAGCAGCTGGGGGATGGAAGCAACCCTCGTTTAAGCATGTTTAGACCTAACTTGTGTCTTTTGGCGGTTTGGTGGGTTGGTGGGTTGGAGTTTAGGACCCACAAGACCCAGGGTTTCAAACTCACAAACCACGATTTCATCCAAACCACCCATGAAAGGCTACAGCACCTGATAAACCAGTAAGGCAACCTCCTCTTGGATTCGGAAAGAGCGCCTGCTGTCAGCAACAGCTGCGACACGGGATCCAAGCTGAAGGCCAGAATGCGGCCACTGTGCGAATTGGCCTGGCGGCGACTCGCACATCTCAAAAACAAGCACCGAGTCGCACTCAAAACCTGATATCAAAATGGCCGCAATCCCAGAACCCTGTTTCACCAAGGCAAGGAGGTCCGCACCCATTTCTGGCAAGGAGATTGTCCCTTGCCCAAATAAGCCCGGGTTTGATTGTGACGGGCCCCTGACTTCTGATTCATGGATTGAACCAACACACCGGGTGTTCCGAAAACCGCCGCAGGAAGGAAGCGTTTCTTTGAGGGCTTTCCGATTCAAAGAAAACCCGAGGCACCAGGAACCCCCCCGCCACGTCTTGACTTGTTGGCAATGGCCTCACAAAAAAAAATCAAGCTGCTCAGCGAAACATGCAGTCAGTCACATGTCAGAATTTGTGGCACCAGTCACGTTCTGTGCCATGCACACAGGGCACCTATCTATGCGGCAGGCATGCTTGGTAGGGTCGAGCTTCCATTGGCTTCTTCGCCCCGTGGAAAAACTGAAACTATGTCCAGCGAAATCGATCCCCTCTAAAACCAAAAAGAGAAAAATACCAACAACAAAACAAAACAATTTAGCCAATGGAAGCTGAAGTGTAAAACACCCGCCGCCAACCCCCCCCCTTTCCCGGGCACTACGCGCAAGGCATTGGCCGCGCACCTGCTTCAGCAGTAGCTGGAGCTCGCCCGCAGGGACATTGATCCGCCAGGCGCTAATGTCCCCCGCGGCATCGGAGCAATAACCTCGAAGGCTGCGAAATCCGTTTCGCAGCAAGCAACCAAGGAACCCAAGGGAAGGATTGGATTCCCCAACGCAAATACCAAAGAACAATGGTTTCAACCATGGTTTAGGGGAGCAGAATGGATTTCGTCCATGCACTGCACGGCATCGAACAATCCGGCCCGTTGAAAGCGCCATTGCAAGTGAACCATGTACCACAAAATGGTAAGTTGCTGTACCCTTCCCCAACAGTCAAGGAAGCGAACGACGGGAGGGGGAAGACTACTTTCCTTTTGGGGGAAGCCCCTGATCGTCCACTTCCATTGTTGAAAAGAGGGTAAACACCTTGCATCCACAGCTCTCGAGCTTGGTCCAAGGAGCAAATTCCGTTCTTGCCATCCAGCTGCAGCGCAAGCACACCCTCGCCTGACATGCGAGAAGGTCTTGGCGAATCGTTGGCACGGGTCAGAATCAAAACGTGATATGGGTGTCTCTTTGCTTGTGGCTACCTTCTTTTGGTTCTGAAGGGAAACCAAAAGGAAAGCACCCATTTCAAAGGGCTCCCAAAAAATGCGCACACCCATGGTCACCCATTTTGGTATGTTACAGGGCTCCCTATGTATTCTTCGTTTGAAAATCTTACGGAAAAGCACACCTGAAATTGGCCAGGGTGATCACCTGCTAAACCAAGGGTCCTGGAAGGATAGCTGCCGCTCACAGTGCCTGGTATCCTGAACACCCTGCCAAATACTCGAAGTTGGACGTCAAAATTGATAAGACTCACCCACAAGTCCCCGGTCGTCTGTGTGGCATCTTCAGCGGCAATTCGTCACTTTGTTTGGAGGGGGGACAATCTACGAATCCACCTGGTTGAAAGGAGAACACACAACGCCGGGGATCAAAGCGCAAAGCGCAGCCTTCCTTTGACACCCGCGGCAACAAGCGTTCCACGCGTGGCTCACGCGGGCGTGAGCCGCCAGCTCAGCCGCCGCACCGCCGAGGCAGAGACGAGGAAGCCGGACAAGGCCGCAAGGCCCAGGAGGAGGTATCTGCCTCTGCGGGCTCCGGGCTTCTCACAGCCCAACAACCCAACACAACAGCTCAACAACCCAACAGCACGGCAGCCCAACAACCCAACAATCAACAGCCCACCAGCCCAACATGCGGACCCCAGAAAAGCTTCGAGTGATGCATCCCCACGAAAAGGGGACCGGATCAAGCCCCGACACATCAAGTAGTTGATTCATCCGTCATCAAGGAATCAACAGGGGCTTTGGGAATGAATCTATCCCCGAAAAGCCACCAGGGATTGCTCATACGGGTCATGCCCTTGTCTTGCTCGCGAAGGAGGGAATGACAGTCTCGGTTGATTCCTTACGAATGGCACCTCCTTTTTCGCCTTGGAAGTTTGGTCGTTTGAACAAACAGGGTTCCCAATATATCCATCTCAACTCACCTAAGGCAGGCACAAAAGGTGATCTGTCAACTGGCAGCAGAAATCTGTGATTTTTAGACTTCCGAAACAAGAACTGATTCGAGTATAAAAGGCATAAATCATGCTGAGCTCGTTTTACCCACCCCCTGCCCCATTTTCGGCGAGCTCGCCAGAAACAAATAGGCGATTATTTCACAACCTGGGGTGGCCACTTCCTTGAAACCGGGGGGGGTTTAGAGATACCCCACCTGAAGAGAGCAAATCGTAGGCCCCATGCTTAGACTGGGCAAATCTATGCAAATTCCCTTTTTGGTTGTCAGCCTGCGGGCAACCCGCAGACAGATGTAAACACAAATGCCGAATTGCACCTGCTGGGGGAATGGGGGAATGACCCTTATAAACCATCCCTGGTGGTTTGCTTTCAGGGGACCCCTTCTGAGCACCAGCAAGCCCATTTGAGCCATGTCAACTTGTTGGGGCTACCGTGAAGCATTTCGTCTTGCGGCTTTGGGTGGGCGCCGATTGCGAGGGAGGCGAGGGATGTTGCTTTTGTTTTGGGCTTTTACATCATACACAACAGCGTATTCGCGAGCAACCCACAATCAAGTTCACATTTCTCCACATTTCATGAATAACAGTATCCTCCTAAAAATAATAGGGCAAAACATACGCGATACAATCAACAATCATTGCAAGAAAGATGGCCATTCTCGCTCACTTCCGTGGAAGTATCAACTTTGTCAAACTGGTCCAAACCAGTTTAAGTTGAGATGTTGATCTCAGTCGATGTCTGCATCAAACTTCGGTTGGATCAACTTGGATCAAACCTTCCCCAACCGAAAGTTGAAAGCCGCCTGGCTGGAAGGGCGTTCTCCCGTGAGCGGATCGAAGGCAGCTTTGAAAGTCGATCACCTGGAAGGAACCCAAAGTGTCCTTTCAGCTTCCCATTAACTGTTGGTTTGGATTGGATTGGTGGTGAGGTTAGGGGGTGGTTTCCCATTTATCCTCTACAAGAACTACAAGAACCAGGGGTTCAAATCCTCACCACCAATTCTCGCCAGGTGTTTTCCGCCAGTTACCCTCTACAAGAACCAGGGAACCAAATCCCCACCTTTCTGAACCACCGATGAGGGGTTACCTGACCCTTGAACAACGCTCCGGATTCAAGTATGTTCTTTCATCATTTAAGTCAGGGCGAAGATGACAAAAGGAATTTTCAAAACAGGTCTGCTAGAGGAAAGCGGGCCAACCCAGAAACAAACCGATCCCTTTTCGATTCCATGCTTGTCTTTAGGTTGGTAGACGCCCCTGATCAAAGCAACCTAAGAGGCTTATGCTTGCGCTTTGGTTGTCAATCAAAGGAACCGGTTCTTGGCTTGGGCGCATTTCCCATACGCATCTGAAAAAGGGATGGCGCTTCACGCACCCCGCCCCAAAAAAAAAAGAAGAAAAAACTACTGGAAGCCACCCAGAAGCAAGGACACTAACAGCACAGGGCCCCCAGCGACTAATTTTGCACAGCACCTGGTAGAAATAGATCCTGAACCACAAAAAGGGGGCAACCATCCCTGACTGGTATGGTCCGGGTGCAATCTGAAAGTGAACGTTGACCGAATGAATAAGCTCTAAGCGGCTCTGTAAGGTCCCTGAAACTACGTAGCCCCTTAGTCAAGCCTACAGGACTTTCTTTTAGGGAACCGGGACGTTCCGAAGGCATTTAATGATCAATTCACCGAACATGGGCCTCCCGGTTTTCCAGCGCCTTCAAGCCTTCCCACTTTAATTTGTGGGCTAGGTTTGTCCAAAGGCAACGGCATAAATGGATGTGGAACAAATACAAGCCGATGGCCGAAAAAGAAGACAGGCACCGGGAATGAAAGCAAGCACCCACACCTCTTGTGAAAAAAACTGCTCACAATCAGCCCACACAAAGGGGGTAGAAGGGGGTAATCCCTCCAACAATATTGTCTTGCTGCCCCCCCCCCCCGGTGAAAAATTTACCTTTCCTTCTCGACTTTTTACATTACCAGGCCCCGCAGGTGATGCTGGTGAAGCTTCCAGGCTTTGCTGTTAGATGACGGTCTGCTCCCCAACATCCAAATGTTCAGATTCCAGATTCCTCAAATTGATGTTGTCTTCCACGTCGCTTGTTTAAAAAATGCCCATGATCAAGCCCGCAAAGGGGGGTATTACTTCAGGCCTCCAATTTGGCCACCTGGGCCCCCCTGAAAATTTCGCAAGGAAGGCCCAAGCAACACTAAATCAAATGGAAACTGAAATCCAACCCCAAGGAAGCTCCAGAAATACTAAATCAAACGGAAACTCAAATCAAAACCTCAAAAGGAAGCTCCAGCAATATTAAATCCAAATGGAATCTTGAGTCCAATCGAAATCACGTGGAAACTCAACAACACTTCGCAAAATCAAATCGACCTGGGCCGCGGACTTTCTTTATTCTGGGTACCTTTTTTGTTGACCGGCAGGGGCGACCCCCTTTACAAATCCCAGGCTACCATTACTTCTCTGAGGCTCGATCTTCTCACTTCCGAACGAGTGGATAGGCCAAAAAAGTCGGAACAACTGTGGTTTTACCACCAACATGGTCTTCCCGCAATCTTTTAAAGTTGCCCAGGAACTCGGGAAGTGAGTCAGTCTATTCAAAAAGCACCCAAAGCCAGCGAGACCGACTCGTTGAGGCCGCCTGGGGGCTGATTGCTCACCGCCTTGCCTCCGCCCGTTCCCCGGGTGGCCTCATAGAAGAAGCGGTGCAGGTCCTCACAGGTTGAGTACAAGCCTCGATTTACTATGGAAAAAGGGGAATCCCCTCATTCTAAGAAACCAAATACAGGAAATTCTACAGGAAATCTCTGATTATGGTTGGTATTTGGCTAACTTCAACCTGTAGAATTTCCTGTAGCTGGTTTCTATGACTCATATGTCTTAGCCGCCCCGCCAAAACACTCGCTTTATGACCCAGGAAGTGAGTTGGTTTTTCAGCTCAGGGCCTCCGCAAAGAGCTTGGGCTGCTCCGAGGCAAAGAAGTGGCCCCCTTTGGGCTGCACGCTCCAGTGCCGCAAATTCACGTAGACCTGCTGAGCCACCTGAGCGGAAGCCCAAGAAACCCGAATAGCATTGGACCCACCAAGACAGGATGCTGCCAAAACGGTAGGAGAGAAGTACCCTAAGGAAGTGGACAGGGGGAACTCGTCTTGCAAAACCCTCCTCATCTGATTGAGGCAAATTTGATATGTGTCTTTTTGATTTGGCTCGCTCCCACCCAAAAAAAAAGAAGCTGGGTTGCCAACCAAACAGAGATGGCTTCAATCCTTTCTCCTAGAACCTGTTGTGCTGGGTGCTTGGCAGAAAAAAACGGTGCCGACCTATCAGCCAGTACCCCAGATCCAGGTTGACCCCACCAAGGCAAAACTGACTGCGCTCTGGGGCCCAATGAAAAGTAGGCCCGAATCAGCTTCCCTCCTGGCGGTGTGGAGGTTGGGGGGGTGGTGTCCCATTTATCCTCTACAAGAACCAGGGGTCCAAATCCCCACCACCAATCCCCGCCAGGTGTTTTCCCCCAGTTACCCTCTACAAGAACCAGGGAACCAAATCCCCACCAATCTGAACCACCAATGAGGGGTTACCTGACCCAAAGACCATAAGTTCCAAAGGCGAGGCGCCAGGAGCTGCCAAAATTTTAGGGACTCTACACCACCCAAGGGCTAGGGTGGGCCTTGTTAAGGCCAAGTAAAGAGAGGCCCTGAGCTTTGGGGGTTTTGGGCAGAAAGCGGGGGGGGGAGGCTTTTTAAAACATGGGTGTGTCTTGGGGGGGAGGGGGAAGGCCCCTAAAAGATGTGTCTCAAAAATAGGTGCCCCCCCCAAAAAAATAATAATAATAATAATAAATACATATATATATATATATATACACACATACAGTGTTTATCTTATTTATTATTTATTGCTTTTTTTTTATAAAAGCAATCATAAATAAAACGTGGTTCTCCCAAGCAAATAGGCGGCCCTCTATATCTCTATATATATATATATGTGTGTGTGTGGTTCTCCCTTTGGTTTCCCTTTGAAGCAATCCCCAAACAAATTGGGGGGACGCTCAAAAAGTTCCTGGCCTTGCGGGGGAGCAGGAAGATGTCTTTGGCCCAAATCACCCCGGTGGGCACCGTCACATAGCTGCCCGTCAGCGGCTTGGCGCCCGAGTGCAGGGGAAGGGTCTCATAGTACAGCCGGCAGCTCGAGGTGATGCTCTGCGTGGTCCAGTAGATCATGACATGAGTCCTTGCCCCAGGGTTCCATTTTTTCACGACCCCGAGGCAGACTTAATTCAGGGGTTGCCCTTTTGGGGGACACCAACCTTTAGGTAGTCAAAAAATGGAACCCTGCCTTGCCCGGACTCTGTGGCGCTGTTTCTCTCTACCAAACGAGGGGGGAGGGGTCACCCGGCAAATAGGCGAGTCAGCATACGTTTGTCCACCTTCAGGTAGCCCGCCAGAAGGGGTCACGTGGCATAGAAAAATAGAGCAAAGTGCGCAGGTTTCTCTGGGCTTCATTCTAACAAGCAAACCATTCTCATTGTGGTTGCCATGGATCGCAACAGGCATCTCCCAACTGATCTCTAGCATCCTTTGCGCAAAGTGTTCTCGGCTCGATGTGGGTGCTCCAAAGACCGGAAGGGTAGAACATTGGCCGAAAGCAAACCAAAGGAAAACACACCAATCATCTACTCTTGGCCAGGGAGTCACATAGGCAAACCAATCTTGTCCAAGGTTTTCTGCCCAAAGTAGGTGCAAAACGTTTCAATCGGGGCAGGTTGGACAGTTTGTTGGGCAGCGCTGTGGTTGGTATACTCCTTGGGGGGAAGGCCCATATCTTACTGAGAGCCTAGGGCCTATCTTCGAGGCGAACCTGCCCCCCGCTTCTTAACCCTTGGGAGCAAAAACGTCATTCTTCGCAGCCACACTATGATGACTAGGACTCTCAATGAGAAACGGAAAAGCAACTCAACAATGCAATCCAAGAACCTGCCAAGAACATTCCCAGACAACAAAGAGACATTTAAAGAATACAAAAAGAAAACCGCAAGAGTGAAGTCAAACATTTTGGTGGGCAGGCGCAGGATCTCGTCCATGCTGATGCCGCTGTCTTCCGGTCGCCCGTGTTCGCAGTCGCTCCAGGACTGGAACTTCTCGAGGAACCAGGCCAACAGACCCACCGGGCTATCGTTCAGCCCATAACCTCGAAGGGAAAGCGGACAAGTGGACAAGTGCTGGCAGGTGGTGGCCAAGGAAAACCACCATATCCAAACTAAGGATGCTTTGGACCGTGCTCTACAACAGTCTTTATAACCTGCTCGCAGGAAGCAGCCACAGCTGCAACGAAGGAAAAGCGGAGCGCTGGCAGGTGGGTACCTGAACAACAAGGCCACCATGTACAAGAATAAGGGTGGTTTGGGCCATCCCTGTGCTTCAGTCTATGGCCGAAAACTGTGAAAACCCCTTGGCCCCACCCAACCGACCGTGCAAACTGCAAGGTGCTGAGTATTGCAAACTCAAGATGAGAAAACAACTACTCAGGATCAGGAACCGCACTCTTCCCCCTCAAATTCACTTCACCCCCCCTTTCCGGGCCCGCCGCCGCGGGCAGGACCTGCCCCCTTTCCGGCCTTTTCCGGGCTTTCCAACCCAGAGAGATCGAGACTTTCTTTGCCGAGCCTAGAGATTGAGGCCGGGTGCCCTGCAGCAACATGTACCCCGTGCCGAAGGCCATGTGCCGCAGCGTGCTGCGCAGGCCCCGCCACTCCTCGCGGCTCCACAGGGGTATGCTCAGCAGCGCCTATCGATGAACCCGAACGCGAGGAACCCGAGGGCGCGCCAGGGCGCGGATCTTCGGCTTTGGGCTCTCTTCCGGGCGTGGCTTTTGGGTGCCTGCCCCCCCCAAAAAAACAAATAATGAAAAGAAAAGCGAAATGCGCCCGCCATCTTTGCCGGGCATATTTTGTTTAATGGGAGTTGAATGCACCTCACCTGGTTTGGGTGGAACGTGGGAGCCCTGCCGCTTTTGGATTCAAAAAAAAACCACCCCTGGTCGATTTTGCCAGCAACCTTTTTGGCAACCAGACGCAATAAATAGAATCAAGGCAAACCATCATGTAACAATGTAAAAACCAAGAGAAAACAGGCGGAAACCTACTATAGTCGGGGCATGTCGTTGAAACCCTTTTTGTTTAAACTGCCTCCTTCTAGGTCTCCCTTTAGAGGAGAACGTATACAAGCGCGTTTCTGTCCAAGCCAATTTTGCAACACCTTCAGCCCCTTCAAAAATCGGCTTCAAACAACTGTTGCATCCGATTCTGCAACTGATCATTTTTTGTTCAAACCAATTGGGCTTGAATTTTCGCAGGGAGCCACATCAGTGGTTGGACCTTCAACCCCTTCAAAATCGGCCACCATCCCCAACGAGGCCTTGATGCCGCTGTACCAGTCCGGCGGCACGGGGACGCACATGTTCCTGGGTGAATTGCTAAAATCCAGAAATCGGACATGAGAAACTTGTCCCTTGGAATCTGCATCATTTCCGAGTTGGCCAAGGGCTTCTTCTTGGTTTCCCTTCATAGTCGAGAACAGTCCTCTATTGTGGGTCTTGCGCTCACTAGCAACTTACCGGTGAGTTCCGCTGAACCTGCCACCCTGGAGCTCCCCCCAAAAAGAAGCCGAAAAACATCCCCAAAAGCCCCAAGTCCCCGACTCCCACCCCGACTTTTTGGCCCTTCCACCGAGTCCTTTCGTGAACCCCCCGTGATCCCCCGTCCCACCCGTCTACCACCGTCCCTGAGGCGAACGAGGCGCAGGTGCAGCGCCACGCAGCGCTCCGGGAACCTGGCGGCGACCAACGTGGTGATGGCGGAGCCCCAGTCCCCGCCCTGGGCCACGAAGTGGCCTAGCGACGCGGACCGATACTTCCGGACGGACCAGTCCGATTTGGGTTTCGTAAAATTGGGGTTGGCAACTAATGGGGGGCGCAGCGGTTACTTTGGGGGTTCTCCAGGGGTGACCCTGGGGCCTCGAAGTTGCTCCAGTTCTTACCTCTTGGGTTCATATGGCATCCGCGGCTTCACCTGGTCGAAAGGCCCAGGAACACGAATCCAAACGCGGCCTATCATGCCCCCACTTTTTTGGATTATGGAGCAGGCTGACTCAACCACACTCTCAGCCTTTGCACTCTCAAACCAACAATGATACATTTAATTCTGGTCCATAGTAAGTGAGCCTTCAAATGCGCGATCATGTCAAAAAAGAAGCTGCCGTTGACCCCTCTGCAAAGTTTAACTTTTTGTGGGTCCAATGCACAACCCCGCCTGTTTCAACCAAAAGTTGAAGTCCAAATATCCAACCAATCAGCCTAAAGCCAACAAAGCCGGGAACCGCCTTGCTTTTGGCGAGTGGCGGTAACCCAATTGCTCCATAAGCTCTGCCATGTGGTCCGCCATGAATTCGACCTCGGGAGAGGTCCACGGAGGTAAAGGACCTGGGAGCTGAAAGAATGCAGCCCAGTTTGACACATATATTGAGCCATATGGAGACATACAAGCATGCATACATCATACAGCTATTTCTGTGTGGCCGTAGCCCAAACCAAAAAAAAACAAAAAAAAACAAGGGAACAATGCAGAAACAAGGCAAAATAATAACCCAAGACGAATGCCACACAAACATACCAAGCCCTCCCTCTCACCTCCCTCTCACCTCCCTCTCACCTCTCTCTATCGCACGCACACTGCACCACCAAAAGGCAAGAAACAGACTTGCAAAGCCAACATCGCCCAAAGAGTTCCACTGAGATCATTTGCAATGGCGTGGTTCACCTCCCCTCCTCAAAACGAACATGTTGATCTCCATTCACTACTCATGGTGCCCCGGGGCTTGCATATTCTTTCTCAAAAAAGCAGATCCTTCCCTCACTTCTATGAGAGGACCTTTTTGTTGACACCCATCTTACCCCAGGCTGGGCCAACTGGCTGCTACATGGACACCTCCCAGTTCGTTTGCTATCCATGACTTGTAAGATAGACGCCCGATTCCTGGCCTTGTGCGATCCGAAAACAAGCCAGCTAAGACTCGCAACTTGGAAGACCATCGCTGGTTCCGGCTTATTGTTCTGGCTGATTCATCACTTCATCCATGGAATCCCCCCCTCTGCCAAACGAACCTGACGCGGCACCCCCCCTCCCCATTTCCCCCCCCCCCCAACACCCCGCCCCTCCGCCCCACCTGTCGGCAAAAAACCGGCCCTCGAAACCAACCCCCCGAGGGCCCCACGTCCGCGCCGGGCTCGTGGGGCGCCTCGCTCCAGCCGTAGCCGCAGATGGAGGGCGCCACCACGTGGAATCGGAGCATGGGCAGTACCTGCGGACCCAAACATTCAGCTTCCCTCGTTGTTTGGGTGGTTTGGAGTTTCCCCCCCACAAAAAGGGTTGTTTGGAGGATGCGAAATCCATTTCGCACCGACCAAGCCCAGGAATCATGTGACCCCCCGCGCAAATACCAGCAAACCGCAGGGCAGGGAACCCATTCAGCTTCCCTCGTTGTTTGGGTGGTAGCCGGAGCCGGAGCCAAATCCGTGGTTCGTGGTGAAATGGAGTGGTTTCTTTCCTCCAGAAGGGGTGGTTTGGAGCTGGACACCCATGCTGCGGATGGTTGCGAAGTCCATTGCGCACCACCGTTCAGAAACCCAGGAATGATTCGATTCCCCTGTAAATACCAGCCAACAGTGGCTTCTGAGGTGGTGCGAACGGATTTCGTCCATGTGTGGAAATACCGTTGCTTTTGTGCTTGGCTATTTTTGAAGCAAATACGGTCGTTGTTGTGTTCATCATGTTGCCCTCCAGAGCTTTATCTTCATGAATGTTGTTGTGTTCACAGTGCTAGGTGCGTCCCTCAACCAGAACAACAAACTCAGGTCTTGGCTCACGGCGGGAAAGTCTAGGCGCGCCTTGACAAACTCCGCCACGGAGCCCGGCCAGCCGTGCACCAGCAGCAGCGGTATGGCCTCCGGGTCCTCCAAAAAGTGCTAAAGGTGAACTTCGGAGTTGATGACCGTACCAATCAGGGACGTTTCCCCCCAGGAAATGACGTTTCGGGGTCACCTCTGATCGATGGGGCAGTCCAGGTTCATCCAAAGTTGACACTAAGACCGGTAGTGGGTTCGTTTGGGATGCGGTGGCTTGCTTGTGTGCATGCAACGTTGCACACTTGTGCTTGGCAATGCGAAGCCTGCTGTATTCAGGTGGTATACCCCAAACCCATGTGAAAGTCATTCATACAACTGCACATCAACCTGTTTTGGTGGATTGGAGACTTTTTCAAGGGGGCGGGTTTGGGAGAGTGGTATGTTTGATGGTTTTTTTAATGTTAAGACTTCCCGCAGGAATTGACGATCATCCTACCAAGTAAAGAGGTATCAATGGGTCTTTTGGCAACCTGCGGATCTGTGCAAGAAATTGCTCGGAGTTTGCCATGGGTGGTGAATGGTTTGGGAGGACAAAAACCAGGAACACCAAGATGGCAAAGCAAGGCTCATCGGGTCGGAACCTTGAAATGTCATGGGAAAATCAAAGTCCAAAGGTTGAGAAAAATGACCTTTTCACCAATGTCCAAAAGGCGGCTTGCTCTGGGGAAGTGGCCAATAAAGCAATGGAGGGAGAATGGAAGCAGGGGTGCCAATCAAAGATGGAGAATGGAGACAAGAGGTCCCTTCTCGCCGTTTCTCTGCACCGTGACATCCCGTTCGCGGGTATGCCCAGGGATCGTCGAAATTCCGAAAGGGCCAGGTACACCCACGTCCCACTCCGCGCGGCAAGCCCTACAAAATGCGTGGCAGTCGCTGCGTGTGTAGAGTGTGCCTCAGCCAGACATGGGAAAGTTGTGGCAATTTGGACCCTCAGTCAGATATTGCTGCAAAGTAACGGGGTCGTTCGCCATAGTCACAATCTCAACCTGGTACCATTTGGCTTCCCCAATGCAAAGAACTCAAAGGGCCCCCATTTCTGGTTGGGACCCTGCCCAGTATCCGCAATCTACCCGGGTTTTGTCTGTGGTTCAGGTCGTCGTAGCGTCCCCATCCGCAGTCGGTTCAGACCCCGCCCCTTCCTCCGAGCGCCGGTGGATGAAGTGAGTCTGCAGGCCGCGCACCTTCCTGCGCACGGTGTTTTCCCACCCCCCTGCAGCAAGCGGGCATGTGTTTTTGATAAAGGGCAACAAGGTTTAAACAATACAACCACATGTTTCGCATTCCCCTAGTTTGACTACCCAAGTTATGTTATGCTTTGCTGGTTGAAAGGGAAGTGGCGGAAAACCAAAAAGGACAAAAGTTGCTAAGTCTGGCAAAGTTCATCGTGAAGTGTGGCAGTGCATTCAGCTTTGCCTCCTGCTGGCGCCAGTCAAAGTTGTCGCGCCAGTATGTGAGGTAATCCTCCAGGGACTTCGCTGGAGGTGGGCTACGGGTATGGAAGCTATTGGCTCTCCCCTATTCAACGCTGATCCTTCCCGACCTTCAGAGAGGCTATGGAGAGGATGGGGAGGGGCTATCCCCTATTCAACTGGCTCCCGACCTTCAGAGATCGCCCCAACTGTTCGATGCGAAGCCCCAGAATTGATCCAAAGATCGCTGTGGGGGACCCTGGCCAAGGGAGACCAAGGGAAACCTTTCACCAGTGTCCCGCCCAGGCTTCGTGACGGTGGCACTGCCGCCTGCCCAAAAGTCTGGTTTTCTGCATGTAGGAAAATACCCCCCCCTCCCACTAGCATAGCATCTCCCTGTCAGGTGCCACGTTAGTGGGAGGAAGGGTATCACTTTCACATGCCAATGAAAGGATAAAGATCCAAAGATGGCATTTAAGGTGTGTTCGCTTTTCAGGAAGAGCCCGGAGCACCAAGCAAAAGACCTGCCCCGCCCTTCCAGCCTTTCAGCTGACAGGGTACACAGCGGCCAGCAAAAGCCGGGTAAGTCGGCATGTCGAAAAACTTTTGGGCGGCCGACAGCAAATCCTTCAGCCACTAAAGTATGGAGTTTTGAGGGCGGGTTGTAACCACGACAAAAACGCAGTTTTGTTACCATGGCAAGCTTCCGCGAAATTTGACAGAGAATGGGAGAAATCGGGATCACATCTCTTGCCAAAGGCTTCGCCGGAAGCTCATGCAATCCAAAAAATGGGGGGGGGGGGGTGGGACAGGGGGTGGTTGCACAAGGGGCAAAGGGGGTGGCCCTCCCCCAGCCCCAGCCGCCCGCCAGCCCACACTCCTGCACCGTGGCCTTGTCGGATCCATAGGCCCAGGCCCCTCCGGGCCCCTTTCCCAGCACCTGGAAACTCGGATGGCTGAAAAATTCCGTGGCATCTAAGCCTCCAGAGCTCCAAAACCCACACCTCAATACAAAAAAAGGATGTTTGGGTATGGGAGTTATCCTCGCTGCGGTTCTGGCTCTGGGTTGTGTAAATGATAACTATGGCTATTTAATCAACTCCCGTGAAGGGAATCCTATGGCTTCTCTAAATCCCCTATCCAGGGGCCATGAGAAGCCACAATCCTTGCAACAGTTGTCCGAATCTCACTTACAAGTCTGAACTTTGTGTTTACCACTTGCGGTTTTGGGCGAACACGAAGTAGCCCAGGGAAGCAAATGAGCACAAGGTAGATCACAAAGTGCCCACAGCACCCGGAAACACAACTCGGATGAAGCTGTGGATGATGACCGGGTTGAGGATGTGACGGTAGAAGGAAAATGTTTGGGGGGGTTTGGAAACACGTTGCAATAGTAAATCGGGAAGTATGCCACCAAGCCCAGGGCGCCCACGCCGTAAAACCAGGTACCTCCTAGTGCCAGCCCTATCCCGCACCAAGCAGCAAACTACTTAATGAGGGGGAAGACCGCCGCACTATGGCGCCTGACGTTTTACCGCAGAAGACCTGTCGGGAGGTGGAAAACTTGAGCCAAACGGCCATTCGGCCGTTTTGCCACATGATGAAACAACACGTGAACAAAACACACCCCCCTCATCCGATATCTGGACGAGAGAAAGGATGCGAGACAGTTGAGTTCACGACGAAAGGGACCAACCAAAAATGCCGGTGTCAACTCAGAGGTGAGCCAAACGGCATCACCTGGGCCCCAGTTAAAATCCCGCCACCACCCCGAATTATCGGGGCGACAGGATTATTTGACGAGTGGACCACATGAGTGAACAAAGACATATTGGAGGAACCATACGAAGATTCCTCTCGTGCCGTTCATGAGTTGTCAGGGACGATGCCATGCGGAGGGGGATCCTATCTGGATCACCGCGCCTCACTGCACGCCGTGGAGCGGTTGGAAGAGTAGTCGAGTTGGGAGGAAATTAGAAACGGAAGTTCCGAGATTGGTGTGAAAATATCCGGCTATGGCCGGCCCGGCACTTCTAGTGCGGTCACAGCCTCACACAGGATCGCCAGGGGAACCGTCTCCGGCGCGCACGGCAGCGGTGCGGGAGGGACACGAGCAACGCCGGATCAGCGGTACAGGGCAATGGAGACCATCACCCCCAGCAGCGCCGCATGGGCGAGAGGATGACCGGCGCGGTCGCGTTTTTCGGCGACACACGTACTATCCTCGCCCTTCTAAGGCGGATGCTGATTGCGGTACCCGCCTACCACCCTGAACCAGGTTCTTCCCGGTCCCTGGGCACGTCGTCTCTCCGGCGTCCGCCACGGTCACCTCGATCACCTCCTCCATCCCGACGGCGATCCTCACCACCACCCCTATTGTGGTCACCAGCCGGAGGTCGGCGAGGCGGAGGGGGATCTGATTGGTGACGTCGGTCATCCCTGCGCCGGTCCCGGTGGCGATCGCGACGGTCATCACCCGGGTCATCACGTCCGCGGCGCTCATCTCGCCCCGGGCCGCGCCTCTCGGAGGTCTCCTCATGACGTGGAGGAGGTCGGCGATCATCGCGTCGGCCTCCGCGGGTATCCCTGCCACGATCATCCCTTTGTCGGGGCGGGCCAGGATCCTCGCGTCCACCTTTGCCAGGTCGATGTTTTCCTCGACCCTTCCCCTCACCCTTTGGACCGCGACGATCCTCGCGGGCCCCAAGCGCGGTCCTCGACCGATCGTCATCTCGGCGGGGCCGCGACTCATTTGCCGCATGAGTGGTCCGAGGCAGGAAGCTCCCACTCGTCGTTGTCGTCATCGCGCGGGTCATAGCCGCCATGGCCGCCCAAGGAACCGGTGGCATCCCGTGGTGGGGACGCAGGAGTTCCGGGACCGCCCGATCGAAGACGAACTCGGGGAGTCGCGTCCTCGCCGGTAAAAGGATCCTTCTGGGTGTAGAAACCCTTGGTCCTGCCCCTTCTCTCCCCACCTTCCACACCGCTTCTCGCGGGGACCGGGGATGGGCGGGCAGGCTGGGCCATGCTCTTAGAGCTGGGTTGCCCGCTAGGCGGGACCTGAACGCCCCCCTGCCCTTTTTCGGGCGCGGGGACCCGACCGCGAGATGTCCTTCTGGCCTTGGGTTGGTCGGACTCACCCTCCAGCTCGGACTCGGTGTCAGGGACACGAGTATTGATGGCCATGTCCTCTTCCTCAAACGGATCCCCAGTCGTAGTAACGCCTGCCGCAATGGGAGCGGGAGGAGGAGGAGGAGGAGTTGGCACAGCATCGCCAGAACTGACGCCTGCATGCGGCACCACGGGAGTCTCCGGTTCTACCGGGACAGGCGGCGCAGGAGGAGCCGGGGGCGGTGGCGGAGGGGGAGGGATCTCCTCCTCGTCGTCGCCCATGGGCTCGTCAAGGTCGTCAGGCTTCTCGTCATCTTCGTGCGAAGAACCATCCGATCCCAGCTCATCCTCCGCTGATCCAGCAAAGTCGGGCTCGTCTTCGTCCTTCACGCCGGGGCCTGGTGTAAGGCGAATTCCGGGTCGATGGCGATCGCGGGGTCGGAAGCGGTACTTCCTTGGTACAGGGTCGGACAGCTCCTGTTTGATGTCATCCTGGGTTTGAGGACGGTCGGCCAAGCATGTGTCGTAGGCAACGGTGGACGTCCGGTAGATCAGATCGTCCATACTGCTGAGGTCGTTGAGGGTGTAGACATACCCCTTCTTAATGCCTTCCCGTATCGTGTCCATAGCCCGCTTGAGGCGCGCGGCAGGATCGAATCCGGCCTTTCTCCGCATGGCCTGCAATATCCCGCAGTGCTGTGCGAGCAGCCCCACCTGGAACTTGAATCCCTCCCCGGACACATCGTTGGGGAGTACCGGAGAAAGGTGTCCTGTTCTCAGCCCAATGATATGGGCCTCAAGAATGTAGTAGGACGTGTAAAGACCGCATCGGTTGGCGTTGAAGTTTGCGGTGGTTAGGCGTCTGCCCCACTCAGCCGCATATCCCTCATATTCTTCGAAGAATTCGGGGACGGAGCTCCCGTTGAAGGCCAGACCCCTTACCAAGATCGCCTTTGCTACCCACTCTTCCACGTTGTTGTCGACCGTGTCACGGTATTTGCCGTCAAGGACTTCGTCTCGGAGCGAGTCGTGAAGTTTTCGGAAAATGCCATCCACGTCCTCTTTGTCAAGGTACTTAGGAGGCCGCATCCCAGACATCAACAAGGACCGGGCGTCGACGGCGGGACTCTGCGAGTAGAGGGCCATTCCGATGGCGTTGGCGTCTGAGTTGTTCCACAGAGCGGGGACGAAGCCCTCGTATTTTGCCAGCCAGGGAGGAATCACCCCGTCAGTGCTCGCTATCGTGCGAGGGCCGCCGTTCGTGTCTCCGGTGGGCAGGACGCCATCGTAGAAGATGGGAAGGTAGCAGGCGGTGCACAGGTGAGCGCCGACCGGATGGGCCGTCATGCACCTATGGCATGGAACGGACACCACCTCGCGGGCATGTTCCGTCTTGGTGATCTGATGGTACTTCTCCATCTCGTCCCGACACTTCCTCGGGTTATCACTCATAGAGTTGAGGAAGTTGGGCGGATAGCACCAAGGCCTCAGGTAAATGATGGAGCAGTCCTCCTTGAAGTAGACGCATCTCCAGTACCCGATCGCGATGTTCTCGCGCGATGCAAAGGTACCCTGACGAGTAATATGCATGCCCCCATTTTCCATGGAGAAGAAACGTGCATCGATAGCCATGACCACATATCGGGGATCGCTCCTTTGGCGTCGACCCGAGGTGTGCAGCTCCGTCACGTTGCTGTCGGTGATGCGGTCGACAGTGTCGTTGGGGCACTCTCCGTGATCGCGGAGGGATTGATACTCATCCGGCCGAGAGGGAAGGAGCTCGATCAGAGCTCGCCCACCCCGAATGATCGCCCCACGTTCTACGTAGAGCCGATACATTCGGAGAGGCACCACCTTGTAGAGCGTCTTAGGAACCACCTTGGAGGTGATAGGAAGACAAACAGGGCTCTCGTAGAGCATGTATTGGTATCGTTCACGAAATGCCCGGTAATCAGTGTCGGATCCGATCTCAAGCGACCTTACCGCCGCTATGCGGGCGGAACCAGGCAGCAACCGACGCTCCTTGTCACGAATGACGGTGATGATGATCTCGAACATTCCCACCCCATCCTCGAGAAAGGAAGACAGGAGGTATGAAGAAAAGGCATCCTCGGACTCGACGCTGGTCCCGAAGTAGTGGCTCAGGAACTTCTTCAGTTGTATCACCGAAGTAACGTTCCCTTGCCCGCTGGCAGACGAGGCCTCCAACTCTGGGTCCTTGACTGCACCTGCATTTCCAGGCTGCACAGCTGTTCCACGGAGCGCGTCGCGTATTTCCGCGCATGCTCTCCTGTAGTAGTGCGAAGAGGCGCCCGTTCTACCCTTCACCTTCTGACGGATCTCGTCGGCGAAGTAGTCCAGAAGCTCCTCGGGTGCGGGAACAATGGCCTGGATCATCAGGTCAGGATCACTCTTGGTCGGGAGGATGGGCCCTGCCCTGGATCTCACTCCCATCTCCAGGAATCGGGCAATGTCCCCGATTTTGGCGCACAGAGTAGCGATCGTGTTTCCGATCCTGGGGGCGATATCTTCGCCTCTCCTGGCGCCGAGGATGACCACGTTTTTCTTGATGGACTCCTCCTTCAGCCTCTCGAGGTTCCTCCGGGTGTCATCAGTGCCTTTCACCGCGCTGAGGCGGAGAACCGCAGGCTCCGGTTTGTCCGGTCGCACGAGCTGGCCGTCGGGAATTTGGTCGAAAATGCGCGAGGCGGACTTCACTGCTGGGACATTCCTGTACTGATCCGGCACGCTGTAAAAGGCGTAGGCGAGAGTGTCATGCGAGGATGTCTCCCAGTACGTGTACTCCTCGGAATCACGCGGGTCACCGAC